TCCCGGATCAGCAGGTGCTGCGTGCTGGAGCTGCCTGACCCTCGTGGCGTTTCCATGGTTTGGGGTGACCGTTCCATCCTCCGTGCCCCAGGGAAGGCGCCCGACTGGGCCTGCGGAACTGCCTGCCCTGGCTGAGGCGGGGCGGGAGGTTTTCAGCACCTCGGACAGAGACAGAGCACGGGGCGGCCGGGAGGGTGCCCCGCCAGCTGTCCGGGCAGGGTGGCACCCCGCGCTGGGCTCTCTCCTCACGCCTGCCAGTCCCCCGGAGACACCCCCCCTAAACCCCGAATCCCTGTGCAGTCAGTGCTGGGGTTCTTCAGCCCTAGCAAGAACCTGCGTCCCCCAGCTGGTGCTCAGAAGTGCTGAAGTGGGAAGGTCCCGAGACAGCACCCAGACCAAAGCGCCAGGGCCCCTCCCCTTCGGTCTTTGGGGGAGAACTTTTTTTTTTTTTGCTTTTTGGGTCACACCCGGCGATGCTCAGGAATTACTCCTGGCTCTGCTCTCAGGAGATGCTCAGGGGACTATATGGGATGCTGGGAATTGAACCCGGGTTGGCTGCGTGCAAGGCAAACGCCCTACCCGCTGTGCTATCGCTCCAGCCCCACACCTCTGGTTTTTAAAATTTTGTTATTTATTTGTTTTGGGGCCACCCCCGGCAGTGCTCAAGACTGGCTCCTCACTCTGCACTTAGAAATCCCTCCTGGGCTTAGGGGACCATGTGGGATGCTGGGGATTGAACCCAGAGCGGCTGTGTGCCAGGCGTGAGCTTCCCCTGCTAGCCCCCTCTCCCCCCCCCCCCCCGGGAGCAGCTCTGCAGTCTGGCTTCAGCCGCGGCTCCCTGTGTCTGAGGAGACGGCCCCCTCCTTAGCTGTTAGTCCTCAGCCCTTCGTTCTCCTCAGTCTCTTCCCTTTGCCATCTCGGCTCAGATACGGATGCACAGGAAGACTCGGCGCCGGATGTCTGGAGGGGGAGGGTCTTGCTTCATGGAGATGTTCACACCCTGGGCCCATTTGCACGTGTGGTTCCAGTGGGCTATTGCCGGCCACATGCACCTGTTATTTCTCTCTCCCCAGGAAGTCCGTGAGCTCTCACCTCTTTGTGGGGGACGGGGTCACACCCAGCGATGTTCAGGGCTTACTCCTGGCTCTGCAGTCAGGAATCACTACGAGTGTGCTCAGGGAACCATATGGGATGCCGGGGATCGAACCAGGGTCGGCCACCAGCAAGGCAAGCGCCCTCCCCACTGTGCTATTGCTCCGGCCCCAGCCCAGAGCCTCCAGAGTCCATACTGATTGTCCATGTGTCTGCACCGTATCGCACTGCAGTTGCTGGCTGCCATCAGCTCCAGGGCCAGTGAGGATGCAGGAGAGTCTGAGTTGGAGGCCGGGCTTGAGGGCTGGTGGGCGGGGAGTGACTACGGGCAGAACTGGGGGCTCACTGACCAGAGGCCGGAGACCCTCTTCTTTGGTCTCATTTTCCAGCCAGGGACAGTGAGATTCTGTGGTGCTCTAGGAGTGACCTTGCCGGGGGCCCTTCCGACTCCTCTGTCCTGGCCCAGTCCACGTCCTCTCTGCCCTGGCCTGCCAGGGGGGTAGATGCCATCTCCTCAAGGGGCCCTAGTACATACTCTTCTGGTCAGTGGCGTCCCCCCTCCCACTCCCCTGTGATAATGGCAGAAGTAGTTATTGGTGACTTGCAAAGCAGATGCCCGATGGTCACACAGACCCTGCCGGCCCTGGAAATGTGGCCACCACCCCCGGGAAGGCAGGCTGCCTGGAAGAAGGGGGGACCCCACTGACTGCTGGTGTGTGGGGGAGAATGCGCTCCTCCTCCCCAGTCCAGAGCTGACTTGTGGGGTCCCAGACGAACCAACCAAAAGGCAGATGAGGGAGCCCGATCCAGGCAGTGGCAACAAGGGCCTGCATCCATGCCAGAGTCAAACCCGCCTTCGTTTTTTTTTTTGCTTTTTGGGTCTCTCCTGGCTCTGTACTCAGGAATTGCCCCTGGCAGTGCTCGGGGACCATATGGGATCTTGGGAATTGAACCCGGGTTGGCTGCGTGCAAGGCAAACACCCTACCCGCTGTACTATCGCTCCAGCCCGGAAACCCGCCTTCTGTATTGGGGAACAATCCAATTCTGCCAGCCAGGACAGGGCGCAACCCCCCAGTGCCCGCCCACTACCTGCCCCCACATGTGGACTTTGCCCCAAACCAGACCTTCAATCTCCGCTCCCTCACTTCCTCCCTGCTTCCGCACTGTCTAGCCGGACCTTCAAGGCTGCATGCACCCCTGAGACCTCAGACACCGCCCTGAAAACCCCCAGCGCTGCTGGCCTCTGCTCAGGGCAGCCTGAGTCTCAGAGACTGTGCCGGGGGTCCCCGCTGGGCCCTGCCGCAGCCCCTGGTCCGGCACACGGGTTGCTGTAGCTAAGTACCGGAACTAGAATGAGGAGGCAGGACCCCTAACCCTGCAGCCAGCACCTGGTCCCTTAGCCCCTGTCTGGGGAAAGGCCCCAGCGAGAGGGCGTGGCGGGCGGGCCGGGGTTCCAGGATAAGCATCCAGGAAGCACGGGGGAGAGAGAGGGCTACTACTTCCGGTTAGGGTGCACCCTCTTCCCTTCTCATTTTCAGAAGTCAGGGCACCCACTTCTGGAGGAAGAACCTGCGGCTACCTGAGCGCCCTCTCTGCAGCCCCAGTTCCTGTGGGAAACAGAGCCAGCGGTGGGGGTGGGGGCCTCCAATGGGTGCCCCGCACCCACCTTGGACTGGGCTCAGGCTGACTCCACTGCCCCCCCCCCCACTGGCTGACCTGACTGTCTGCCTAGACCTGCTGTTCCCTAGGGGACCACTCGCTCTGGGGGGCCCCTGTCTGGGGTCTGGGCTGTTTCCCGCCTGTGTGCTCCTCGGAGGAGGGGGGGCTTCAGCCTCGTCTTTCCTCCAGGATGTCTTGCCTGGTCTCCCCCCCACCCCGACCGAGCCGTAGCTGAGCGGGTGCTTCCTGCAGCCTCCCTCTGACATTTGGGGGAGCCCCGAGGAGCCGGTGCTGCTGTCTCCACACCTCCGCCAGCTGAGTCAGGAGCGGGGTGCTCTTCCTGGGAATGTCCTGTGGGGTGCTGGGGGCTGCCCTGGCAGGGAGGGGAGGGCAGTGTTCTCTCTTTCCCAGATCTGGGGTCGGGGGCGGTGGCAGATGGGGGGACTTCGTCCTCCATCTGTCGGCTCCCCTGGCTTACGGCGGGCAACAGCACCTGCGGTCCCTCACCTTTCGGGGAGTCCCCCCACTCGAGACCCTGGTTCCGCTGGGCACATGGATTTGCTCCTTTTGTTCCCCTGAGAAAGCAGGGCAAAGCCTGGTGCGGGGAGCTGGGGACCCGGGCGTGGACAGCTGGCTGGGCCGGCCACCCTCCTGCAGGCCCCGTGGCAGTCTGTGCCCCTGGCCCACCCCACGGTGGCCGTCCCTCCCCGTCCCAATCAATCCCACCGCTGGGGAAGGGAAGACGCCCACTCAAAGGGGCTCACCTTAAGGGGTGGTGCTGGGGTGGGGAAGAGGCTGGGCCAGCCCAAGGCGAGGTGCCACCCAGAACCCGGATGGGTGCCTGGGCTGGTACCCGTCGTGCCCACCCAGGCCCCGGGCACCTCGGTGCAGGCGGTGGCGCGGGCCGGAGCTGAGTTTGCAGCCAGAGCCGCCGCCGTCGTTTTTAGCATTGGCTGGTGCAGCCACCCCCACTCCCCCACGGCCTCCCTGAGTCACTGCCCACCCACCAGCATGAGGAAGGGGGTGTCCTAGCCCGACGGCAGCCCCCCAGGTTTCGCGTCCCGGTGGCAGGTGAGTCTGGGCCGAGGGTCGGGCTCAGACCGCCCTCTCGGGGCCTTGTTCCCGGCCGACTGCCCGCTCTGCCCAGTTCCCTCCCTCCCTCTCCTCCGCGATGGCTCTCCCTAGTGACAAGCCTCCAAGGACAGAGCAGCTGCAAACCCTCAGAGCCCCCCACACGGCCCCAGCCATCCATCTAGCCGGCCGGGATCCGCAGGGGAGGGGACCCGGCCGGCTGCTCGGCTCCTCCCCAGCGGCCTCAGCTGTCAACACTCGGTCCCCGCCCCGGCCTTGCTGGGGCCCTGCCGGCTGCTCAGGCCCGGGACACTCGCCTCCGCAGACCCTCACTCAGACCCGGGCCGGCGGTGGGCCGGCGGCGGGCAGACGCGGGCCAGCCCTTGAGCATCCCCAGGCCTCTTTGCCTAAATAAGGGAGCTGCAGCTGGAGCCGGCCAGCTGGCCGGGGGAGGGGCCTCGGGCTCGGCCAGGGTTTTCCGAGGGGCTGGACCGCCGCAGCGCCGCGGGGCCCCGAGCCCGCCCATTGGCCGGCGAGGCGGGCGCCCCGCGCCGCAGAGAGGAGGGCCGTGAGGACGGGGATCCCCCGGCTGCAACCTGGCGCTCGCGGGCCTCTCTGATCTCGCTGCCAGGAGGCCGCAACTAGTGTCAGACTGTCACTGCCCGAGCGGGGACACCCGCCCCCCGCCCCCCATAAGCCCAGGGAGGGCCGCGCGCGCGCGCGCGCGGGAGCGCGGGGCGGGGGCGCCCCGGTTCCGGCGCTGCCCGGCTGCCGGGTCTCCTCCATCCTCATCTCTGCGCCGCCCCGGGCCTCCCCTATTGTCTCGCCCGCACGTTCCCGGGGTCCCCCCGCAGGCCTCGCCCGAGACACCCCGGCGGGCCGGGGGTGGGGGCGGGGACGCCCGGGGTTCCAGCCCCGCCAGGGGCGTGCGCGCGTGTGTGTGCGCGCGCGTGTGTGTGCGCGCGCGCCGTGCACGCGCACGGAGCCCCCCGCCCCCCCCGGGCGCCCGGCCGTCGCACCTGTCCTCGGGGCTCCCCTCCCGAGGGGTCCCTGCCCCCTCCGCGGGGCGCGCGGAGCCGCGGCGGGGGGGAGCGCGGGGCGCGGCGCAGCCAATGGGCGGCGCGGGCGCGCGGGGGTGTGTGTGGGGGGTGGGGAGAGGGCGGCGCTGCGGGGCGCGCGGCGGGTGGGGGGGCGGGCGGCGGGGGCCGGAGCCCGAGGGGCGCGCGCCGCGTTAACCCCTGCGCGGCCGGCCGACGGCAGGCGCGGCCCGAGCGGCGGGGTCGGCGGACAGGTGTGCGCGCGGCCCGGCGGCCCGAGCGCCGCGGCTCCAGGCCCGGCCCGCGCCCCGAGCCCGGGAGGCGAGCGGGGACCCCCGCGCCCGCAGCCCAGGGGCGGCGCTGCCCGCGCTCGGCGTGGCCGCCGGCTAGTGCTGGGCCGGGCCGGGCCGGGCTGGGGGGCGGCCCGCCCGGCTCGCCCATGGGCGCAGGATGCCGGTGCGGAGGGGCCACGTCGCGCCGCAGAACACCTTCCTGGACACCATCATCCGCAAGTTTGAGGGCCAGAGTGAGTGGGGGAGGGGGCGCGGGGAGGGGGCTGGGGGGCGGGCCGGCCCCCGGGGTGCGGGTGGGGGGCGTGCCCGGGAGCCTCGGACGCCGCCGCCGGGCGCCCGGCCGTCCGCGGGGGCCGGTCGCCTGGCCCCCGCCCGCCAGGGGGTCGCCGAGGGGTGCGGGGGGGCCAGGCTGGGAGCTGGGACCAGGCTGGGCACCGAGGGGTCCGGCCGGCTGCGGCAGGGGGCGGGAGGCCGAGCTCAGGCCTCCTGGCCGGGCAGAGTCCCGGCTGGGCGGGGGTGCAGGGACCAGGGGGCTTGAGAGCGGACCTCGAGTTCCCTGGGTGCCCCGGGACTGTGGAGCGAGACGGAGCAGCGCTTGCGGGGTCCGCGCCGAAGCTGCCCGGCGGGCGCGTGACCCTCGTGTGTGACCCTGCATGCACTGGGCCCTCCCGCCGCCCCCCAGTATGGAGCCCTGGGGGAAGCAGCCGCGGTAGAGCTCGTTTCCCTGGGCCAGGCGCTGCCCCCCACCAAGTCCCCTTTGTGGGGGCTCCTACCCCCTAATGCCGGCCTGCTAGGGGATACTTCCAGAAGGGTCCAGCAGAGACTCGAGTGAGCACCTGCCCCAGCCTGCAGCCGTGTCTCCCCCGGGGGGGGCTGTCCCTGACGGGGGGGGTGTGACCGCCACAGCCCGGCAGTGGGCAATGCTGACATTCCTTGCCCCTGACCCTGTGGGCTTGGGACAACGTGTGCTTGTCCCTGGGCTGGGCAGGGAGGGGTCAGCGGCACGGGCAGCATTGTCTGCCTCTGAGGAACGAGCTGATCCTGCCTGCCGGAGGAGCTGGCCTGCTGGAGAGGCGGTGCAGACGGCAGGCCGGGACCTTTCTCCCAGTGCTCGCCTGCTCTGGGGGAGTCTGGGCTGGGGTTAGGGCTCCGGGGTCTGGCCCCACCTCTGCCTGTGCTGTGACCTTGAGCATCCATACCTGGCTAGTAGGGGCCCCCCGGCAGAGCGGTGCAGTTCCTTTTGCTGGGGATTCCAGGATCTGAGTAAGGGGTGGGGGTGGGGCTCTGCCTTCGAAGAAACTCCAGCCAGGAAGAGGGGCCAGGTGGCATTTCCTGCCTGGCCGCTCCTCCAGCTGCCTGGCACGCAGGTGGAGATGGAGGCTAGGCCCGGGGGCACTTTTCATGCCACAGGGGACCCCTAAATGCTGGGGATGATGGCTGCCTGGGAATCCAGGTGTGGGGGGAGGGCACATTTGGGAATCTCACCTAAGATGACCTGACTTACAAAAACTAACTTCCTGGGGCAGGCCAGGGTGAGGGGCGGGAGGATGGCAGGAGGGGGCTGGATCCCCAGGGTTCTGTCTCAGCCCTTTGCATTGCAGCCACGGCCTTGCTGGGGTGGGTAAGGGGGGTGCCCCGGAGAGCAGCCTAAGGGGTGTGTTCCTGCAGGCGGTGACAGTTCCCGGGGCTCCCAACAGCCCCTCACGCAGGGCCCAAGTGGCTGGAAGCTTGTGTTGGTGAAAAGCGTTTATCCTGTAAGCATCATCCCTGGCATAGGCTGGCATTCCCGCTGCTCAGCTGTTCCTCTCCTGGGGCAGGCGAGAGGGGTGAGCCGAGTGCGGCGGAAATGGGTCCGCTGGGGCTCCCTGTCCTGCCCGGGCAGCAGGAGGCAGGCCCCCAGGCCTGGGTCATCTTCCTCCAAGGGCGCAGCCTTGCACCGTGCCCCGGGCCCCGGTTCCGATTTCCAAGGCTGGCAGCTGCGGAGTCCTTTGCTCGCTCTTTTTGACCTTGGGCTTCCGCCTGTGGGAACCTCCAGCCCCCCCCCCACACACACACCCCCCAGCAGAAGCTTTTTCCCTTTCTGCCTGAGTCCTTCAAAAGCGGCCTGTCATTTTTACAAAGCTGCGAGATGTGGGCAGGGCCGTGAACTTGTCCGCAGGCTCTTCCTCTGTGCGACAGGACAGTGATGCTGTCCCCTCCGAGGAGGCAGGAGTAGTGACTGCCTACAGCCTCGCCAGGCGGTCGGTCCTGGGCTTCCCCTGAGCAGCCCACTGGCCGCCCCGGCTGGCCTCAGAGCCGGCCTGCAAGGCCGTGGCGCCAAGTGCTGACCTGGTCGGGTCGCGGGTACTGGGGGGAGGGGTTTCCTGGGGATCCCCGGGTAAGGGGTGCTGGGGAGCATCCCCGGGCCAGCGGGGGTGGGGTGGGGTGGGGAAGGCTGGCGCCATCTCTGCCCTCCCAGCTCCCTCTCCAGGCCCCTGTTTATCCCTCCCCGCGGCTGCTGACACGCGTTGCCGACACCCGCCCAGACCGGCCTCGGCCCCGGTCGCCGAGGGGGCGGCTGGCAGCGTGCCCAGGGGAAGCCAGGCAGCCACCCGCGGGCCGGGCGGGGTCGGGGGCGCGCCCCGGGCACCTGTGTCGGGCAGGCACAGCTGCCTCGGCCCTCTCTGGGGACCCTTGTCCCCGCCGGGGGCCTCTGGGGCGGCGGCTCTGCGTGGCCGGAGGACGCGGGGCAGGGCTGGGCGTCCCCGAGCCCGGGGTCCCAGCTCACGCGCCCGCCCCTCCCCGCCCCTCCTCCCCCGCCCCAGGCCGCAAGTTCATTATCGCCAACGCGCGGGTGGAGAACTGCGCCGTCATCTATTGCAACGACGGCTTCTGCGAGCTGTGCGGCTACTCGCGGGCCGAGGTGATGCAGCGGCCCTGCACCTGCGACTTCCTGCACGGGCCGCGCACGCAGCGCCGCGCCGCCGCGCAGATCGCGCAGGCCCTGCTGGGCGCCGAGGAGCGCAAGGTGGAGATCGCCTTCTACCGGAAGGATGGTAGGCGGGGCGCGCGGGTGGGCGGGGCCTCCCGGTGGGCGGGCCTCTCTCGGCGGGCGTGTCTCCCCGGGGTGGGCGGGCCTCCCTGGTGGGCGGGCCTCCCTGGTGGGCGGGCCTCTCTCGGTGGGCATGTCTCCCCGGGGTGGGCGGGCCTCCCTGGTGGGCGGGCCTCTCTCGGTGGGCGTGTCTCCCCGGGGGTGGGCGGGCCTCCCTGGTGGGCGGGCCTCTCTCGGTGGGCGTGTCTCCCCGGGGTGGGCGGGCCTCCCTGGTGGGCGGAGCCTCCGGGATTAGGGGAGGTCTCTGGAGTTGGGCGGGGCCTCTCGGTGGGCGTGGCTGTCTGGGGCGGGCGGGGCCTACCCGGTGGGCGGGGTGTCTGGGGTTAGGCGAGGTCTCCGGAGTTGGGCGGGGCCTCTCGGTGGGCGTGGCTGCTCGGGGTGGGCGGAGCCTCTAGGATGGGCGGGGCCTCTCGGGAGTGGGCAGGGCGGGACTGCTGGGAGGGGCGTGGTCAATAAGGGCTGAGGGTGGGGGTGCGTCCTAGAGGGTGTGACCCTGGCTGGGACCCTGAAGGTGTGTGGGGTGGGACCCTGGCTGGATGTTGGGGCTCTCAACTCTGGTGTCTGCTTTTCGGCGTGGCCTAGGCCCCGCTTGCACGGTGGTCTGGCGCCTCTGGTTCCTTCGTCGCGCTGTGGGGGGCGAGGCCAGAGGGGAGAGATTAGGGGGGCGGCCCTGACAGAGTCCGGTGGGGCAGGGGGCGGGCGCAGACCTGGGGTACAGGCCTGTGGGGCCTCCCTGGCAGTCCCGGACCAGGCGCCCTCTCCCCTGGCCCTCTCTGCACTCCCCCTCTCTGCACCTCCCCTGCCCCTCTCTGCACTGCCCCTCTCTGCACTCTCTGCACTCGGGCGCATCGCCCCGCAGCCTCTGTCGCTGGACCTCGCTGCCCTGCGCCCCGCCCACGCCCCCTGCACCAGGTGTCTGGGCTCAGCCACCACCTCCCAGCCCAGCTGCTCTGGGCTTCCGGAGGGAGCGGGCGCCGCCGATAAACAGAGCCCTGGGCGGGGGCTGCTCTCCGTCCCACCCCCGCTGCAGGCTCTGCAGGGTGGACCAGGCAAGGCCTTGGGCTCTTGGGGGCCTGCAGGTGCCCGCGGGCTGGACAGGCCCTGCTAGCCGTGAGCTGGCGTCAGGGGCAGTGTCTGAGCCCTGGGGAGCAGGCGTGGCCACAGGCCTTGCAGACCGGACGGTGAACAGTCACAGGGGCAGTGGGCAGCAGGGACTCCATGCGCCTGGCCTGTGTGCCCAGGGTGGGCTTCTCCCCCCTGCTCTTCAGCTCGGAGGGGGTTTGCGCTCGGGGGCGGGGTCTGGCTGGGGGCGGGAGCTGTCCCTGCAGGCAGGGCTTCCTGGCTTGGTTCTCTGGTTCTGGTTTCTGGCCGTGCCTGACAGTGCTCAGGCTTACTGCTGGCTCTGCACGTGGGGTCACTCCTGGTGGGGTTCAGGGATGGAACAAGGGCCTGGCACATGCCGGGAAAGTGCGTGAACCCCTGGGCTCGCTGGTCCCTCCTGCTGTTTCTGCTCTGAGCCCCCCCGGGGCCTGTATGGCCATTACTCTGGCTTTGTAGTCGCTGGCTTTGGGCTGCGTCCACGTGCTGGACGTGGGGCGGAATGTCTCGCACACGGCATCTGTGCAACCCCCCGGGCGGCGAGAGTATTTTTATTTGCTTTTTATGGACGTGAAACTGAAACTGTGAGGAAACTCCCCAAGTTGTATCACCGGGGAGCTGCAGCGTGGGGACCCGGGACCCCCGCCAGTCTGTCCCGGCGGACCCTCCCCCCCATCTCCACCTCCAGCGGTCACCTGCCGAACATGCGCCAGGCTGCATGAGGCTTGGGAAGTTGCTGAACCCCTGGGTGCCCGGGGTGGGACCGGGGCGGTCCCGGTTCAGGCCTCAGAGCAGAGCTTGGGTGACACAGGACAGGTGGTCTCTGCAGGGTCCCCCCCCACCCCGACTCTCCCTGAGCAGCAGAGGGCTGGGAGCGTCCGACTCTGTCTTCTGTGTGTCTGCACACGCCCGTCTCTCCTCGCACCCTGGCTGTGTCCACAGGGAGAGGGTGGCACGGCCCCCCCATCCGCGCAGAGGGGCGATCTTGGAATCTGGGTGACCTTCGGGATCACATTGTCCACTCGAGTTACCGGCTGGGGTACAGTTACCAGCGAATCAGTGGCCAGGGCCCTTGGCCTGGGCCCCCCCCCACCCACCCCTCCAACTCGCCCTCTCCAGATTCCTGCTCCAAATGCGGCCGCCGCTGCCTGGAAAATCCTCCTGGGGCCCGTCTCTGCCCCCTCCTGGCATCTCCTGTTTGCTGCTGGCCTTGGCCTCCAGGCCGCGGGGATCTCCCGCCGGGTGGGCCTGGCGCCCTGGGCCCTGGGACTCTCTCGTGTCCTGAGCCACCCGATGCCCAGTGCCCCGTGGCGGGAGGAAGCAGGACCCGGGCCCAGGCCGGCCTGGCGACGTGGGTGCGGAGGAGGCGGCCTCTCGCTGGCAGGCGCCGCGGGGACAGCTGTGCTGTGTCCATGCCTCTAGCCCGGCTCTGTGCATTCTCAGCCAGACAGCCCCATTATTTAGTGGCCGGGCCTGCTGGGAGGTGGGGAGGCCACCGAGGGAGAGACGTAGGGGCCCCCGCGGGAGCAGGCTGCACCCCATGGCTGGGGGGGTCTCCCCCAGGTGCAGCGAGACACACCTGGGCAACCCCCCGGTCCCAGAGTCCCTCTCTCTGCCTGCCCTTCACACGCGTGTCCCTGCCTCCGCCCTCCGTCCCCCGCGTCTTCCTTGCCTCTCTGTGTCTGGGCCTCCCTTCTGGCCTCCCTCTCTCTCTCCCTCCCTCGGCCCCTGGGGCTCCTGTCTGCCCCCTCCCCGCACCCCCCCTTCGCCTGGTCTCCAGGTCCCCGTGTCCCCAGGAAGCCTGTGCGTGGGAGGGGATGGGTGTCTCTAGAGGAGAGTGTGCCGGCTTCTCCACTCCAGCTGCAGGCCCGTTGCCCTGGAAACGGGGTCAGAGGCCCCCACTGAACAGCTGAGCAGGGGCTGGGGGCGGGGTGCAGCCCCGCAGGCCAGCCTGCTCCCCGGAGCCCCTGGGGAGAGCCCCCTCCCTCCGCCAGAGCCTGGGGGCCTCGGGGAGCCGGGACAGGTGGGGGCACCTGCTGCCCCCCAGTGGGGGAGGGGTCCTGCCAGGCGCTGGGGCAACCCAGAGAGTCGCTCAGTGGTGCAGGAGCTGGGGCGGGGGCTTGGGCCTGGGGAGCGGGGGTGCTTCCCCACCCGGTTGCACCCGGCGGCCCTGGAGGGTGGCGGCCTTGGCGACTCGGGGCCTGCAGAGTGTCCCGGCGTGTTGTGTCTGCTGAGCCCAGAGCGGAACTGTGTAAATATTTGCAGAGAGCATGACGGGGGCAGCAGGGATGGGGCTGGCGGGGGGTGGGCGTGAGGGGTGAGGCGGGTGCTCAGGCGGGCTGTGGGGTCTCCCTGAGAGCCCCAAGCCCTGCCCGGGCTATGCTGTTGCCGGTTCTTCAAAGCCCAAAGCCCCTTCGGCCTGCAGACAGGGCACTTCCGGGCAGGGGCTGGTGGTCGCCCCCCGCTGTGGGCATGGTGCCAGGGCCACAGCGGGGATGAGGGACGCCCAGGCAGACGCTGTGTTCTGTGGTGTGTGACCTTGTCACCACAGCGCCCCTTACTCCTGGGTGGAGCCGCCCGCTTGGGGCTCAGGGGGGTGCCCCGGGTGAATGAATGAATGAATGAATGAATGGAGAGTGGGCAGTGCGCCCGGTGGGGGGCCAATACTGGGCATCTGTGCTGCGGAGGCATTTCTGGTGCCAGTATCTCGCTGGGGGGCCGGGGGCTGTGAGAGGGGCAGCTGGGGGATCCCCCAGCCCTACCACATCGGGGGGTCGGGCGGGGCAGCGGGGGTTCACTCAGCCGCCAGACTCTCCTGCCAGCTGGTTCTTGGGGGAGGAAGCCCCTGTTCACTGCCCCAGCTTTGCCCAGCTCTGGGTGCCGGGGTGGACCCCCAACCCGGCTTTCTTCGTATCACTTGCTTGGAGGGACCCCCTCCCAGCCCTGCCCGGTGGGCCCCCTCTGAGCTGTGCCTGGTGGGGTCCCCTCTGAGCCCTGCCCAGTGGGGCCCCTCCAGCCCTGCCCGGTGGGGTCTCTTCTGAGCCCTGCCCGGTGGGGTCCCCTCTGAATCCTGCCTGGTGGGTCCCCTCTGAGCCCTGCCCAGTGGGGCCCCTCCAACCCTGCCTGGTGTCCTGCTGGCCCCCAAAGGGTGCCCGGGGGACTGTCCTGCCCTCTGAGCCACGGTCACTCACACCTGCTCCCAGGCGCGCGGCTGTGGGTGGCACCAGTGTCCGGGCTCACTCTGTCTGCTTCGGGCAGCGTCACTCCCGTGGCCACACGCCCGGGCAGCACCCCTGACCTCACGACGCTGTCCCCGCCGGCTCACAGCCTCTCCTCCTCGGCCGGAACACGGAGGCCACCACATTTGCACAACTGGCTGTTCTTTGAATTTCCTTTTCGTCGCCTTCCAGTTCATTTTCTTTTCACGGAAGTTCCTTACACCCCCTCAGGCAACCATTCAAATCCACTTCCCGGGCGCGCTGCTCACATATGTTCTTGCAAATGTGGTGTTTTGTCTGGGTGCGGAGCCGAGGATTAATTTGTGCAAATGATATGTTCTGGATACGGGGCTCGGCGCACCCCGGGATGTGCCCTCCGCGTCCCACCAGTTGACAGCTGCCAGCGAGCACCCGGCGTGTCCCCAGGTGTGTGCCAGCCTCTGCTGCCTGTCCGCGCTCCCCGGGGAGCCCCCCAGCGCCCCCGCATGGAGGGATCCAGCGTCTCCATAAGGAGCGTCCTCAGCCCTGGCCCCTTCTGGGCTCACTCACGTGAGGCGGCTGTTGGGCACAGGGAATGCTGGGGGTCCCGCATTCATGGGGCATCACGGGCTCTGGAGCCTCCCTGGGT